CAAAGGCAGCGGCAAGGGCGTCGGCGCATGAAGTACGCATCGCAGATGCAAGGCCGACACCTTCAGTGGCGTCAGACCATTGAATCTTGGTCGCCATCTCAGGGCGGGAGCCCACCTGGATGCGGACGATGGGCACATTGTCGATGGAGAGGTAGCCGTCGGTGCGGTGGATCTTGGGGTTGAGGTCCTGCTTGGCATTGTTGATGATCCTTGCAAGCTTCTTGAGCTGGATCTCTTGCCTGACGAGCTTGGGGCTCTTGTCCGCGCTGACGTAGCATGGAGCACCCCCGATTGAGAAAGTACGCCATTCTCGACCAATGCGAAGGTGATGATGGAGCGCTTGGGCGCGTGGTACTGCCACGGCATCGGCTCCGAGAACAGTGATGGAGACCCGCTTGGCAGGAGCGGAGTTGTTGTAGCGGACCATGGATATGTCGATGTTGGCCGCCGAAAACCATTCGGCGATGGCAGACTTGAGAGAAGCTTGTGTGATGTCCACAGTGGAAGCAATCCAGAAGGTGCCGATGTGTGGAGCCCTGTCCCACGAGCCAATGTTGCTGATGTCGAGCGAGGGAACTTGGGCTTCAGCCTGTGCAATGGCAGTTTTGATCTTGTCCACCGCGTCGTTGAGGTTCTTGGACTCCACTTCGGAGGCGGAGACGCGCTGCTTGAGGGAGACGATGTCGTTCTCGACGTGGTCTTGGCGCTCGGTGAGCTTGGCCGTGATGTTGGTGATGTGCGAGATGAAGCTGGCTTGAGACGATGCGGCGACTTTCTCTGCGGTGGCCTTGAACTGTTCGGCTGCATCAGCGACCTGAATGGCAAAGTGCTTCTCGATCTCGGAGCGGAATAGTTCAAGTCTTTCCTTCTGTGCAGCGTCTTGCCATGGGTCTTTGTTGTTCCGAGGACTCCGTTCACGTCGATCACGTATGGTGGCCAGGTCGCAGGTCTCGGGCATGTTGAGAGCACCCCGCAGAACGCTGTGTCTGGCTTCTCGACCTTCAATATGGATGTGGCCGCGGCACCACAGGCAGACAATCCCGCGCGAATGTGTAAAAGGAGCAGAAAAAAAAACACTCCTGAGCTGGCCCTGGAACAAGGGTATGCCATGAAAGCCTCTTGGCGCTGTGCCAAACAACATTGGGACCTTGAGCCAAAATGGCTACGGAGGAGAACGGAGGAGGAGGAGGAGGAGGAGGAGAAGGAGGAGGAGGAGGAGGAGGAGGAGGAGAGGAGGAAGAGGAGGAGGAGGAGGAGGAGGAGGAGGAGGAGGAGGAGGAGGAAAGGAGGGGAGGAGGAGGAGGAGGGAAGGAAGGGGAGGAGGAGGAGGAGGAGGAGGAGGAGGAGGAGGAGGAGGGAAGACGGAGGAAGGGAGGGAGGAGAAAAAGGAGGAGGAGGGAGGAGGAAAGAGGAGGAGGAAGAGGAGGAGGAAGAGGAGGGGGAGAGGAGGAGGAGGAGGAGGAGGAGGAGGAGGAGGAGGAGGAGGACAAGGAAGGGGAGGAGGAGGAGGAGGAGGAGGAGGAGGAGGAGAAGAAGGAGGAGGAGAAGGATACTGAGGAGGAGGAGGAGGAGGAGGAGCGCAAGTAGCATAAGGCGCAACAGGTGCCAATCTCATCTATATGTTGATGGCAGCTCGAGCTGCGCGCGGAAAGTTAACGTATGCTGAGGACGATGGGGGCGGAGATGCAGCGTGCCGTAGTTTGTTATAAAAATGAAATGGCACTACTGTGTATGCGTGGGCGCTCTCTCGCTCCAATTGGGATGCATACAGTGGCAGGAGCGCGAACCCGATGCGGATGACGGGGTCGGGGGGGGGGGGGGGGGCAAGTGCGCGGACGAAGGACATGAAACCAAGGAGGCGAGGACAATTGATGTAGTGGAGAAACGAGCCCGGGCACTGCGGGCATCCGAAAAAGGCAAGTGGCAAGCGCCTCGACCTTCACTCTGTGGTTGGTCGTCCATCCGCCCACTATGGTCTTGATGTGGGCCCAGACCATTGCCGGCTTCGATTTGATAAACATATTTCTCAACTCCGGCCAGGTCTGCTGGAGCTCGCGGGTCTCTGGCGCAGCTAAGTCACCGACCCATTTTTCAAACCGTCTCCTCAAGAGGGCGGGCGTGGAATCGGGGTATACGGAGGTGACGAAGGAGGAAACGCGGAGAGTCTGGGGTCGCGCTCGGCGCTGCGCGGCAGCAGCGGCACTGCATCCTTGGATCGCTGCCAGACTTGCCGCCGACAAACGCGATCGCGAGATCTTGCGTCACGGAATGCTACCTGCTGCCAAGGCCCACCTCTGTGCGATGGCCCGTGGCTCCTTCCAGAGTGGGCCAGACCGAACGCCGCGAAGAATCGCGACAACTCCACGGGAATTTTCCGCGCTGATTCGCAGCTGCCCGATCCATGGGCCCCACTCGTGCACTGTGGGGAGGAGGAGGAGTAGGAGTAGGACGAGGAAGAGGAGGAGGCGGAGGAAGAGGACGAGGAGGAGCAGGAGGAGTGTAAACGGGAAGGGGGACGGGGAGGAGGAGGAGGAGGAGGAGGAGGAGGAGGAGGAGGAGGAGGGCGGACGGAAAAAGGAGCACGATCCTCCACGGCGGAAGATGTGGCACATCGGCCACTCCAGCCAGTCCCTTGTGCGCCCGAGCTATCTGTGTTTACTCCGGCCCGGGGTAACTCCTGTTGAGGCCCTGGCGCGTGCGCCAAGGAATGCCCTCGACCACCTCCAATCCAGATCATTGGATGCCGGTTTTTTTCGGTCGCGATCGGCAGCGAGCCATCACCACATCGAATCGGTCGGGACCGATTGGTTGCGACCGATCGGTCGCGACCGATTTTGAAGCAAACCCGTCGCGACCGATACCAACATGTGAAGCAAACTCGGTAGCTGCGCTCGAGTAGGCCTGGTCCACTTGCTGCTTCGCGTCGGGGTGCTCTGCCAAGTACTTGGCCTTCTCGCCCTCGAAAGCGGCCTTGTCCTGATCAGACCCTCCGGTGCCTGGAAGGCGATGCCCTCTTGCCGGGGCGCCACGGCCGGAGTCGCCCAGCGCCCGCGTCCGCGCCCTTGAAATGATGGGGGCAGCGCGCGCCGTGCCACGCTGGCGGGGCGTGTCGCTCTCCATGATCGGCCGGGCGGTGCCTTGCAGCATGCGTCCTGTGCTTCGTCTACGTAATCCTTCTCGCCCTCCTCCTCCTCCTCATCATCCTCGTCGTCCTACTTTTCCTCCTCCTCCTCCTCCTCCTCCCCCTCCTCATGTTCCTCCTCCTCCTCTTCTTCCTCCTGCTCCCTCCCCGAATCCGACCCCTGGACCTCTCCAGGGGTGGGTTTTGACAAGGATCCCTGTGGGAATCCAGCAGCGGCGACGAGAAATCTCCCCGAGGTCCAAGAAGGGCGAACATCGCAAAACAACCAGATCCTCAAGCCTTCCCTCCCCCCAAAAAATCCACCTCCTCCTCCTCCTCGCCCTTCTCCTCCTCCTCGCCCTCCTCCTCCTCCTCCTCTCCTCCTCCTCCTCCTCCACCTCCTCCTCCTCTCTCATCCATCTCTACATCCTCCTCCTTCCCTCTCTCCCTCCTTCCACCCATCCTCCCTCCCTCCCCTCCCCTCCCCTTCTCCTCCTCCTCCTCCTCCATCCCGTGTCATTAAACATAGCTCCTCGATTTCGCACCCCCAGACGTGGCCGGTAGGGCGCGCTGGGCGTTTTGCGAGAGACTTCCTCACCATGTGCGACCCTGAAGCTTGACATGTGCAACACGTAACGGATGGAAGGCGGTTGGTTTTCAAACAGCTGCTCTGCCCTGAGCTCCCTGAACATTCGCCCTGGAAGTTTGCAGCAATTTCACGGATGGCAGGCGGGCCGTTTTCAAAATGGTGCTCTCGCGTTAGCGTCGCACACATTCATGGTACAGGTGTGCAACAGCTTCAACGATGGTGGGCGGACGGTTTTCAACATGTGGTATCGCCCTAGCGCCACGCACAATCATCTCAACCGCTTGCACTAACTTCAAAGATCGAGACTCTCGCCGTAGCGCCGTGCACACCCGTCTGAACCATTACAGCAATGTCAAGGGTTCGTGCGGTTGCATTCCCACGAATTGCATTCTGGCGTGATATAGGACTGTCAACACACAATAGCCACGTTGATCCGCAGTGTCGATGTCCCAGGAGTGGTGACCTAGTACGATGTAGGATTATCAGGACGCATATGTCACATTGATTCGCGGCGATGAAGATCCAGGAATGGTGTTTTGGCCGGGTGGAGGGTTCTCATACGGTTGTCTTCCAATGGGGCACTTCCTGCATTGAGCGTAGAACCTGTTATGAGGAAACTGGGGGGATTGATATTGCAACATCAGTAGTGTGTCTTGGGTTTGCACTGGCCCTCCTGATCCTCCTCCCTCCGCACTCCTCCCTCCTCTTTCTCCTGCTCCTCGTGCTCCTCTTGCTCCTTTTGATCCTCCTCCTCCTCCTCATCCTCTCCCCTCCTCCTTCCTCGCTAAACCATATCTTCCCCCCGCCCCTCTTCCCCCGCTTCCTCCCCCTCCTCCTGCTCCTCCTCCTCCTCCTCCCTTCTCCTCCTCCTTCTCCCTCCCCTCCTCCCTCCTCCTCCTCCTCCTCTCCTCCTCCTCTCCTCCTCGTCCCTTCTCCTCCTCATTCTCCTCCTCCTCTCCTCCTCATCCTCTTCCTCTCCTCCTCCTCTCTTCTCCTCCTCCTCCTCATCATCATCATCATCCCATATCATCATCATCATCATCATCATCATCATCTCATCATCATCATCATCATCATCATCATGATCATGATCATGATCATGATCATGATCATGATCATCATCATCATCATCATCATCATCATCGTCCTTCTCCTGCTCTTCATTCTCCTCCTCCTCCTCCTCCTCCTCCCACTTCTCCCTCCATTCACCTCCTCGCTCCGCTTCGAACTCCTGTCCGACCGCTCCCAAGCCCTCTCTCTTGGCAAGGGCGGGCGGACCGCGGCGCTCTCCTTCGGAAGTCGTTGGTCATGAACCGCTGGCCTGCGTTGTGTCCGCCCGCTTGCAGAGCAGGGGGAGAAGAAGTAACGAGAAGGAGGAGGGGGGAAGGACACATTTCAGAACATAGTGGCGATGCCCGAGGGGAGGTGGAGGACTAGTATGAGGATCGGGAGAAGGAGGACGAGGAGGAGGAGGAGGAGGCTTGAAGTTTGTTGCTTTGTCGTTTGTTGTTGGTGTTCGGTGCGTACGGGGTTTTGTTGCTTCGGGCCTGGCCATTGCTGGCTCTTGTTGAACATATGTGACGTTTTTGGAAGGGCATGAACCTGATGACGAGGAGGCGTAGGAAGAGAGGCCCCCCCGCCCCCTCACCATTCTTCCCTCCCTCCTGTCCCCTGGCGTTTTCTCACGCGCCCCCGCCCCATGCTGCCCCCCTGACTACCCACCTGCTCCACCCCTCTCGCTGTTGGCCTCCCGCCTCCTCCTCCTCCTCCTCCTCCTCCTCCCTGTCCTCCTCCTCCTCTCTGTCCTCCTCCTTCTCCCCGCCTCCGCCCGCCTTCGCTCTCGCTCAAGGGTCTGTGTGCCAGGGTTTCCAATCGCCGTCTATAGGGTCGCGCCCTTCGCTGCCTTGTGTGCTTTATTTTATGGCCGCCGTCCATCTGGGTCCGCGCATGCGGCATTGGCGCATGGAACTCAAATAGTGCATGGATGATCTATATGGTTGGATCCGCGCGCTTGAATCATTCTAAATCCCACCAGCCCTTCAGGGCGTGAATGGTTTAGAGCGCGTCCTCTTGCAACCCCCCTATTTCCCCTCAGGGGAGGGGTATCACTGTTCCCTAGTCATAAACACCTTCTCCGCCAAGCGACCAGCAGCCAACAAGGACCAGTGCCATCACCCCCTCCCCATCCCTGCCAACAAAATAATATGACGCACACTTTTGGGCAATATCTTGTGTCATGCTCGTGGGCCCCACGCACACCTTGTATTGTTTTTTGAAGTGCACGGCGGGGGTGCCCTCCTATTGCCTGCCTTGCGCAAGGCCACCACCCCTGCCAAAAATAATGGGTCATGCGCGGCCACCCCGCGATAACTGTCAAGTGGCGTTTGACAAGGAATGGGGGGGTGCTGGCTTATTGTCAGCTGTCTGCAGGCCCACCAGACACCATGATGGCCTCCCCGCCGCGATTGTGCACTGTGTTCGGCAAAGATGGTGGAGGCCGACATGTTTCCCGATGTGTGCTGTCAGGTGCGCGGGCGCACCTCCTGGCACACTTTGCGCGTACCCCAGACGTGGCGCACCTGGTGCGGGTGGACCATGCGGCGCACATGGCGCACGTGGAGCACGTGGCACATCTGGCGCATCTCGCCCCATCGCGCACATGGGGTCTGCTTTGGTTCCTGGCAGGTGCCCGTCCACATGCGACCGCTGAACATGATGAGGCCTGGGTACTACTTAAGTGTTGGGAGGGCGGGTGGGAGTGGGCGAGACAGCTTGCGGGCAGGGAGGGTGCCTTGACCCCTCCCCCTACCCCCTTTCCCCTGGGACTTGGATGTGGGGGGGGGTCGCGAGGGAGGACTAGAGCGTCCAAGATGGCCTCGGCAAGGAAGCACACATTACGGACTTTACGAAAGTGTTGGCCACATGTTGGCCTCCTGTCTGGGGGGCGTAATTGAAACCTGCTCCTTCTTCGACCGATCTCCTCCAAGATGGCCCCAACATGGCCCGCGAGGCTCCCAAGGGTGCTCCAAGAAGGCCCCAAGAGGTGCCCAGGAGGCCCGAAGTGGCCCCCACGATACCCCCAAGATGCCCCCAGGAGGCTCCCGAGAGACCCCCGCGCCGCCCCCTAGAGGCTCCCCAGAGGCACCCAAGACGCCCAAGAGGCCTCGGCGAGAAGGCCACATTCATTGCCGTTGCTACGGGCTTTGCCACATGTTGCTCCCCTGGGGATCGACCCTAATGTCCTACGGCCCCTCCTTTGTTCGATCTCCTCCAGGATGGCCCCAACAAGGGTGCCACAACAAGGGCCCCAAGAGGTGCCCAAGCGGCAGCAAGAGGCTCCTTAAAGGCCCCACAAGCTACCCCTAAGAGGCTCCCAAGAGACCTCCAAGAGGCACCCCAGACGCACCCCCAACAGGCCTCGGCCAGAAGGCCAAACTCATTGATGTTACGACGGTGTTGGCCATACGTTGGCCTCATGGGGGGGACCCCGAGTAAGAACCCCCCCCTCCTTCCCCCAGGCTCGCAGGGGTGCCCCAAGACGGGCCCCTAGAGGTGCCCAGGAGGCCCCAACAGGTGCCCAGGAGGCTCCAAATGGCCCCCACGATACTTCCAAGATGCCTCCAAGAGGCTCTCAAGAGACCCCCAAGAGGACCCAAAAGGTCCCCCCAGAGGCACCCAAGACGCCTCAAGAGGCCCTTGGGACTGCCAGGAGACCCCCAAGACGCTCCAAGAGGACTACAAAAAACTATCGAACGAAATCCGAAGAGACTCCGAGAGGTATCCAAGAGGCCTCTGGCCTTTCGGCTCGCCCTCCTCCTCCTCCTCTGCATCATCCGCCTGTTCTTCCTCCTTCCTCCTCCCTCCCCCGTCCCCTCTTCCTACTCATCTTCCTCTTCCTGCTAGCCTCCTCCTCCATCCATCCTCTCTGTGGGTACGACGTCTTACCCAGCCCTCTATTTCACAGCGTTCTCCTCCACATCCCTGAACAGGGCGACTCGTCTGGGCCTCGTTTCTTGATGGGGTGGTGGGGTTACGCGAAGTGTCTTGAACGACATCAGACCCTGAACCTGTGAATCCCATATGGATGGGTGGTATCTCTTGCCTATGGTCTCGCCCCATCCAGGTGACATAAGAATTCGAAGTAGGCCCTCGCCAGCAACGAGTGAGCGTTCCTACTTTTCTGCTGGGCCCTGCCTGCGCGCGATTCTGAATATCATGGGCGCCTTTCTGAAAATGCTGGGCAAGAGGATGATGGCCTTTTCCTCTCAGCAGAGACGTCACGCCATAACTTACACAGACACCTGGTCGGCAAGTAGATAGACGTACAGCCACACAACAACTGCCCCAATCTGCGCCTGCACGCCCAGCAGGTGCAGCGGCGGGCAAGCGTGCTGGCCTTGGTACATGAAGGCGTCGATGCCGAAGTAGCTGGCCCGGTTCTCCTGCCTCCGCACGAGGCCGACCGCCGAATTCCTCGGCGGCCGGAAGTGCTCACGGCCGCAACCCCTGCCGGACACGGACAGCGGGTGCGGGAAGTCCTGGACGGGCGAAAGACATCTCGGGCCCCCTCCTCCTCCTCCTCCTCCTCCTCCTCCTCCTCCTCCTCCTCCTCCTCCTCCTCCTCTCCTCCCGTCCGCGTGCCTTCCTTGCCCGCCTGTTTCTCCTCCCCGACACCCCCCGCCGCGGCTCCCCGCTTCTGCCGCCGCGAGGTCAGGCGGGGCCAGCCGTTCCAGGCCGTTCTCGCGGGCACTCTCTGGAATCACCGCGCGGTCGGTCGCTGGACAAAGAAGCGCTGGGCGCCGCATCTCGGGCCTCTCTGGCCGTCGCATGGCAGGCCTCAGCGCACATACATACCATGAGTGCGAACTTGTGAGCTCCTGGAGTCTTGGGCCTGGCGAGGGACGGATTCTCCATGTTTTCTGGGATCCCCGATCCATGACTTGACATCTCTGCATCTGCTCGAAATGGCGCTGCAAGGAATGCCCTAGAATCTTCTCGTACAAAGCACATTGCCTGGCCTACAGTCCACCCGTATAATAATGATGCGCGGTAAGGGTGCAAGGGCCGTGGAGGGCCATGCTAACGTTTTTCGAACGAGGTTGGCCAGCGAAAGTCGCTAAGGATGGGCCGAAAGGGGCAGGATGCAAGGTTAGCCTTGGAAAGTTGCTCGTTCTTACTGTGCAGGTTGCCTGTGCAGTCTGACATGAACCACCACTTCTGATTGAAGGGTGAAGGATCTTGAATGGCCGAGGCCGAGGTTTCTCTCGGCTGGAATCTCTAGCGGAGCGCTGTGGGGAACCCCACCGCAGGCAGCAAGATCACCAACATGAGGGACGTCGTATGAAGCAGTGCCAGGAGGGCGACCCGTAGGATTAAGCCTGCTTCCTATGTAGATCTGCAGGGCCTCCTCCATCTTTGCCCGTCACCTGGAGAGCAACTGCGGAACCGATTCACACCGTTGTCAGACGGCTGTGCTTGCCTTGGACGCATGATCCCGGAGTGATGACTCCAAGCGGTGCCTTTACCTCAACACCTTTTCGTCCCTTTCTCCAGGCCCACATATTCTTACCCCCTCCGCCAGACGTGCAAATCCCCGCATGGTGCCGAAAGGTCACACCAGGCAGACTAGGCCGTCATGACCTGGCCCTGAGGCGTACGGCGTGTCCTCGGTCGGCGTCCACGGCTGCGGGAACATCAAATGCACCTGCGTCGGACATTCCGAGAGGAGAGGGAGGTCACAATACATGCGGGAACGCTTCAACAGCTTTCGGAAAGCGCAGGAAAAGAAGGGCCTCCAGAACGCAGACGGGCTCAGACCAATAATTGCATCCGCATCTGCACCAGGACCAGGCATTCAGGGGACGCCCCCCAGAAAATGCTCCAGCGGGAGTGGACGCAGCGACTCCGCAAATAAGCCGTCGAAGCATCCCACGAAGCTCAGTGCAAGCGCAAACAGAAACACTCGCACATGTCGAGGGAGGTGCGCACGTGCCATGTATTCCTATGTACAAGAGAACGCGCGCGTGCTGTGGTCGCTTCTTTGGAACACAAATCTCTGGACACGTCGGAGCTGCCCCCAGCCCGCCTCCCATGCCCAAGGGGGGGGGGGGGGCGAAACCGCCCCCCCTCCCCGTAATAGAATCCCATCATTGCTCGATCGAGCTTTAATGACGTCCCACTATAGCTGGATCCAACTGTAATAGCATCCTAGTCGGGCTCGGTCCAGTTCGAATACAATCTTTTTTGATAGATCCAGCTCTAAGTTCAATCCTGCTAAGGCTCCATCCAGCTCTGAGCGAATCCTACTTCAGCCATCCAACTTTAATTGCATCCCAGTTGGGCTCGGTCTAACTCTAAGAGAACCCTGCTGGGCTGGATCCAGATCGACTTGAACCCTACTCAAGCTCGATTCAGCTCGAATGCAATCCTACTATCGCTAGATCAAGCTTTGACGAATTGAATCCAACTCGGGCTCAATCCAACTCAAAACAAATTTGTCAAGGGCTCGATCCAGCCTTAATCTCACCCTATTGAAGCTCGATTGTCGTCGTCGTTGCCCGACGGCGCCAGCGCAGGCGCTGGCGCTCTCCGTCGTCGGGCTGCCACTGGGGAGGGAGGGGGGCGGGACGGTGCCCAGTTCGAACCCCGCCCCCCCTCTTGCACCCTTGCAATTCAGGGTGAGCCCCGCCTCCCCCCCCCCCGAGTTCGAGCCCCTCTCTCCTTGAGGGGGGGGGGGTCGACGGTCGAAGTGGTACGAATTACAACCGACTAGGACCAATCCCAACCGTTCGGAGCGAATTGCAACCAGAAAAGAGACCAATTCCAACCACAAATGAGACCAATTCCAACTCAACCAAAACTGAGACCAATTCCAACCACGGATGGGATCTTCGGAATTCCTCCGGATCCCTTCGAAATCTCTGGTATTCCTCCGGATTCTTCAGGACTCCTTCGGAATTCCTTGGGAGTCCTTCGGAATTCCCCACGATTCCTTCGGAATTCCTTAGGGTGCTTTTGGAATTCCTCAGGCTTCCGCTTTCGGAATTCCTCAGGCTTCCTTTGGAATTTCTTAGGAATCCTTCGGAATTCTTCGGAATTCCTTTTGGATTCCTCCTTCGGAATTCCTTTGGATTCCTCCTTCGGGATTCCTTTGGATTCCTCCTTCGGAATTCCTTTGGATTCCTCCTTCGGAATTCCTTTGGATTCCTCCTTCGGAATTCCTCTGGATTCCTCCTTCGGAATTCCTTTGGATTCCTCCTTCGGAATTCCTTTGGATTCCTCCTTCGGAATTCCTTTGGACTCCTCCTTCGGAATTCCTTTGGATTCCTCCTTCGGAATTCCTTTGGACTCCTCCTTCGGAATTCCTTTAGGATTCCTTCTTCGGAATTCCTTTGGACTCCTCCTTCGGAATTCCTTTAGGATTCCTTCTTCGGAATTCCTTTTGGATTCCTCCTTCGGAATTCCTTTGGGCTCCTCCTTTGGAATTCCTTAGAACTACTACTACAACAACAACTACTACTACTACTACTACTACTACTACTAGAACTAGTACTAGTACTAGTACTAGTACTAGTACTTGTACTAGTACTAGCACTAGTACTAGTAGTACTACTACTACTACTACTACTACTACTACTACTACTACTACTACTACTACTACTACTACTACTACTACTACTACTACTACTACTACTACTACTACTACTACTACTTACTACTACTACTACTACTACTACTACTACTACTACTACTACTACTACTACTACTAACTACTACTACTACTACTACTACTACGACCGACGACGACGACGACGACGACGACTACGACTACTACTTACTACTGACTACGGACTACGACTACGACTACGACTACTACTTGACTACGACTACTACTACTACTACTATACTACTACTACTACTACTACTACTACTACTACTACTACTACTACTACTTACGACTTACTTACTACTACTACTACTACTACTACTACTACTACTACTACTACTACTACTACTACTACTACTACTACTACTACTACGACTACTACTACTACTACTACTACTACTACTACTACTACTACTGCTGCTGCTGCTGCTGCTGCTGTTGCTGCTGCTGCTGCTGCTGCTGCTACTACTACTACTACTACTACGACTACTACTACTACTACTAACTAGTACTAGTACTAGTACTACTACTACTACTACTACTACTACTACTACTACTACTACTACTACTACTACTACTACTACTACTACTACTACTACTACTACTACTACTACTACTGCCAGGAGGATCCATTTGCATATTTTAGAATCGATGTTTACGCTTCGGTGCCCTCTTGCTCATCTTAACGTAGTGCTCGTGCGCAGACCAAAAACTGAGACCAATTCCAACTCGAGCACGCTTGTTGGCTTCCAGATCCTGTGCGTTGACATAAGGAGTGTCACTTGGTCTTCGCACTCGTCTTGGGCTTCCCTACAATTAAAATCGTATTGTGGGGCTATCCCAAGATGGTTGGGATTGGGCCCAGTTTGCTTTTCGCACTGGTTGGGATTGGTCCCAGTTGGTTGGGATTGGGCCTAGTGGGTTGGGATTGGGCCCACATGCGGTCGACGGTTCGACGTCCCACCCTCCCCTCGCAATCCAAGGGGGGGGGCGGCTCGCCCCGCCCCCCTTCCAAGCGTCCAGCGAGCGCGCTCTTTCCAATGCGCCAGTGCGAGCTGGGGATCTGGCTGGCGCCAACTCGAACCACCAGGCGAGCGTCAACTCGAACGAACCACCAGGCGGAGAGAGAGAGAGAGAGAGATCGACCACCACCAGAAGCTTCGGGGAATGGCCAGCGATGAAGCGAGGGCAGTGTTCTGAGCTGGTAGTCAGGCCGATCAGAAAGCGAGGGCGAGATTCGGAGCTCAGAGCGTGGCCGCGGGTAATGCAAGACCACCTCTCCGAGCTTGGAGTCTGATCTGGGCCAAAGGTGGGAGCCACTGGGCGACAAGTGAGCTCGTCCACAGCGGCCCCTCTGGGGTGGCCGACGCTGAGGGAAACGCGACTCGAAGCTGGAACTGCTTCCTGAGCCAGGACCACAGCACAACTCCTACATCCCTGCGTAGAGTGAGAAGAAACTTTGCGCTAAGATAATGGACTTCGCTCCGAACGTTTTCTGAAACGGTAGGCTAGGTCCAGATGCGACACGCTCTACGGACGAAGAGAAAAGCACAAAGAAACGCCCAGGGTCCAATCCAGATTCTTGATGTTCTTTTCTGAAGCAAAATCTGGAGTCCGCGAAACTTGACGCTTCTTCTTGAGACTCCTGATGGGTGCAGCTGAAGTGGCTGGGGCTGCCAATGCGAAGCCCCAAGGCGAGACAGCACGGCCGGCGCTACGGCGACTGCCACCACCGCGCGACTCTCTACGGCTTGGCCAGGGGGTGTGGCCAGCGGTGCGGCGAGGACCACCGGGCGACGAATTGAGCGGACGCACCGCGAGACCCCTGACGGAGTGGCCAGCACGGAGGCGAGAGCGCCATTCCGAGCCGAGAGCGGTCCGCGCTCAAACGAAAGCACCATGTCGAGCTGAGGATGTGGCGGGGGGGACCAAAGCGAGAGCATCACTCCGAACTAGGGCTGCAGCCCGCGCCAGGGTGAGAGGCGACCAGTGAGCTCACCCACTGTGCTACTGGCCAACGCTGAGGTGAGAACACCATGCCGAGGTAGACATGTGGCCCGTGCTAAGTCGAGATTTCTATTCTGAGAACGTGGCGTGTGCCTCTGCGAGTCACAGCGCGACCAATAGGCTAACCCACCGCGCGACTCTACCAGGAGTGGCCAGCGCTTAAGCGAGAGCACCGTTCCGCACTGGGAATGTGGGCCCAGGCTCAGACGAGAGATGAAGATTCCGAGCTGAATGCACCACCGCTCAAGCGGGAGCACCACTCCGAGATATATAGCCTGACAAGAGCTCATGCGCGGGCACCGTTCCGAGCTACGAATGTGGCCCACGCTGCACCGAGAGCCACCAGGCGACGAGTGAGTTGACCCATGGCACAAGCCCTGACGAAGAAGCCAAGATTGAAAGGAGACCCGAAATCCGAATCGGGGGCGTAGCCGCCGCTACGGAGAGAGCCACGGGCCAACGAGTGGGCTCACCCACCGAGCGCCCCTTCATTATCGGCAGGCGCTTAGGCGAGAACACTCTTCCAATATTGGAATGTAAGAAAGGACCAAAACGAGCACATCCTTCCGAACTGGGGACGTGGCTCGTGCTGAGGCGAGGGTCACCTGGCAGCGAGCAAGCTTAACCCACCACGCGGTCTCTCATATGGTGGACATCGTTCAGGCGAAACCGCAATTTGAAAGTGCAGATGTGGCCAACGACATCGAGAGAGCCACTGGACGACAAATGTGCTCACCCACCGCTTTACCGAATAGGGGTCACCCAGTACTAAGGCCAAAGCTGGGGTGGCTAGTGCTGATGTAAAAAACACCCTTTGGAGTAACATGCACCTGTGTAGTGTGCGTAACACTATCTGGCACCTTACGTGTGGCATTGATGTGCCTGTTGTGCGTGAGCTAGCTGTGAAGCGGGACGAGGAGGAGGAGGATGAGGAGGAGGAGGATGAGGAGCGACAGGAGCACCAAAGAGGGGGGCAACGGGGGTGCGCAAAGGGATGCACTCTCCCTGACCACCCTGGCATACGTGCAGCTACAGAAGCACGCCAGCCGAGAGACACGCGTGTGCCCGCGCTGGCCAGCACGCTTCCGAGCCGCGAGCCGCGAGCCGCGAGGGAGGCTTCAGAAAGAGAGCCGCAGTGCGAGCTGGCATTGTGGCTGGAATCAGGGCGGCAGCGCCGTTCCGAGCTGACCGCTGGGCGACGAGCTGAGCTCGTCCACCTTGCGGCCCCTCGAGGTGGCCAGGGAATGCTGCTGGCGCGGGGTCGACAGCAGGAGGGCGACGCGCGGGCGCCGCCAGACGGTTCCCGCCGCAACGTGGGGCCACGCGGAACTGCGCTCTCGCCGGGATCCCGGCCACATTCTCAGCTCGGAAAACTCTCAGGCCTCCACGATCTGCGCCCTTTTCGTCGGGGGTTGCTGAGGGTGCCCCTGGCCCGAGGTGCCCCCAGCTTCTCGCTCCACGTTGAAGCCCCTGGGCCCCCCTGGGCTTCGCGAGGGGGTGCTCTGGAGGCCGTGGGGGGCCTCCTTGAAATTCCTGTGGGCACCTTGGGCCAAGGGCACTTCTGGCAACCCCCCGCTTCGGCGGTCGGCATGCGAACCACACGCAGGGGCATGCGAACCACCCCGAAGCGCCGCGTGCTCTGCCCTGCCCCCTGCGCCGCCGCCGCGCTCGAGGACGACGAACGGCGGAAACCGACGACGGCGACCGCTGCGAGCCGATCGGATCGGGCGAGCGCGGACCGGCACGTCGAGCTTCTCGGCGACGTGGACGTGGCCGTAGGCGACGGGGTTCGCGACGACGGCGTCCGCGAGGAACGGGGGGGCGCCCTCCACGTCCGGCCTCAGCGAGGAGGATATCGGCGTCGGCGTTGTGGTCGTCGTCGCCGCCGCCGCCGCCGCCGCCGCCGCCGCCGTCGTCGTCGTCGCCGTCGCCGTCGTCGTCGTCGGCGACCTCCTCCTCCTACTCCTCCTCCTCCTCATCCTCCTCCTCCTAAGCAGGAGCAGGTGGATGCTGCGGAGGATGAGGAGGGAGGTGAGGAGACGGGGGCAGGAGAAAGGGATTCAATGAGCGAGGCAGGAGGAAGGATGAGGAGGAGGAACGGGTGGGAGCAAAAGGAGGAGGCGGACGAGGAGGAGGAAAAGGAGGAAGAGATATGATAAGGAGGAGGATGACGAGGAAATGGGAGGAGGCGGACGAGGAAGAGGACAGCGGGGAGCAGCAGGCCGAGGGGGACGAGAAGGGGCGCAGGGTGAGGACTGACACAACGAAAGCGGCCGACAGCATATCGAAGAGCAAAGGAAAATGGTGGGATAAACGATGATGAGAAAGAGAGATGAACGAGCAGGAAGGATGATGATGAGGAGGAGGCGGAGGAGGAAGAGGATGACGTGCGGGAGGGGGAAGGAGGCAAGCTGAAGGATGAAGATGGAGACGTATTTCAGGGGGTCTAGGATATTCACAGGGGTTCAAGATATTCCAGATGAGCTGGTAGAGGAGGAGAAGGACGAGGTGGAGGAGGAGGAGGAGGAAAAGGAGGAGGAGGAAGAGAAGGAGAAAGACGAGAGTAGAGGAGGGAAGATGACGTTGTTGCTGATGCTGGTGATGACGAGAAGGGGGAGGATGAGGATGATGAGGAGGAGGGGTCGTGTAAGGGTTTTGCTCAACGTGAGGCCAGCTCGAGACATGCTGGGAGCGTTGGGAGAATGATAGCGAGGAGGATGAGGAGTGATGAGGGAGGCGAGGAGGAGGAGGAGGAGGAGGAAGAGGAGGATGAGGAGGAGGAGGATGAGGAGGAGGAAGGGGAGGAGGCGGAGGCGGAGGAGGAGAAGGAGGAGGTGGAGGAGGAGGAGGTGGAGGAGAATAATGGAGAAGTAACGCCCTACAGAGCAAGGTTTATTGGGCTTCAGGGGGTTATGGTAGGGTCTAGATGCTCGAAGGGCCCCGGGGGGGAGGACGGGAAGGATGATAAGGATGAGTTCGGACGGAGGAAGAAGGGACGGGAGGAAGAACGAGAGGTGAGGAGGAGTACGAGGAGCAGGAGGAGGAGTAGGAGGAGCAGGAGGAGGAGGAGGAGGAGCAAGAACAATAGCAGTATCAAGAAGGAGGAATGGAGGAGAAGGAGGACGAGGAGGAGGCATTTCACTGAAGCAATTGCCCCGTTGGGGGACAAACGTGTGAGCATCTTGAAGCGTGCCGGCAAACCATCCTCAGGACTTCAATGCCACGAATTAGCTTGATTGTTACGTCTCGGCGATCCAGAACCGTGCCAGAACACCATTCTTGGCGCCCTGACAATTCTGAATCGCTCCCAAACGCACGTTTTGGTATGTTAACTATGAACATCCGTGAAACTCTTGCAAACGTTTAAAGCGGATGTGTCGGCACTAAGGCGATAACCACATTTTGAAAACGACCCGCCCTCAATCCGTGAAATCCTTGCGATTTATTCAAACGAATGTGCGCGGCGCTATGGCGAGGACCGCAATTTGTAAACCACCCGTCGTCAATCCGTGAAGCTCTTGCATTTTTTGAAACGATTCTGCGCGGCGCTAAGGCGAGAGCCACATTATGAAAAGACCCGCCCTCCATCTGTGAAGCCGTTGTCAATTTCCAAGAATCAGAGTTATAAATGGTGAAGAAATCTCAGGCGAAACGCCCGGCCCGCCCTTTAGACCGGCCTCGGGGTGCGACGGGACGAGTTACCGAAAAGGAAAAGGAATGGAGGAGGAGCAGGAGGAGGAGGAGGAGGAGGAGTATGAGGAGGATGAGGATGAGGCCGAGGTGAAGGAGGCGGAGGAAGAGGAGGAGGAGGAGGACGAGGAGGAGAAAGAGGAAGAGGAGGAAGAGGAGGAGGAGGAAGAGGAGGAGGAGGAAGAGGAGGACATGATAGGGAGTAGGCCCCCATGAGGCCAAACCTGGGGATGTCAGCGAAGTCGTTACTCATCCTTGCCAGGGCCCTCATGCATCCTTCGGATCGCTGCGGCGCGGCAAGTGCACTAGAATCCTCAACCCTGCCACCGACATGCTCAGTCCCGCAAATTCGGCGGTGGACAAACCTCTCTTTAGCAAACCTCCCTTTAGTGAAAACGGCCTGGGACCGAAACCAACGGACCTGGAC